GTTAAAGTCTTTCGATCTTGTGTTACTGGACATGACAGTTATCTTAATGAGAAAGGCCGAGAGTCCTAAAGGGTTAAATGCTCAGTGAAATCCTATAGGTGCTTTTGAATACTCTGTGTGAAGTAAGAAAGTGTCTCTTGTTGGTCAATGAGTTTATAATTTTAAATGTGGCTATTTAAAGTTTTGTCATCCACAGTTTTGTGTATCAGAGCTGCTGCTCATGATACTAAACCATTGTTGGTTCTGTTTAGCTGTCTGATGGACTTTTACCAGCCAATTCTGTCGTATTTGGTGCTTTGGGATGGCTCTGTAAACAGATGAAGCCAAGAAAGCACTACGGGTTCCAACTGGGAGAAAGTATGGTTATTCGAGGTTATTAAGAGCAGAAAGTAATTCTAATTGGTTGATGGCAATACAAAACAGCTAAAGATTTTAAGTAACTATTACTAAAACTGATTCATTGTTCTATTTTTTATGTTGTGTTATATGTGCATATATATTGTATGTCCATAGAAAAATTTATTAAGCGCTCTGTCTTTATTGGCTTATAAATGAAAGATTGCTCATAAATTTAAACTGCTAAAATTAATTGAAGATACATTTGACTCATGTGACCTGAATCTCTTTGTCAGATGTTTTAAATCTGTTGGTAGAAAGAAACTAAAAATGCTTTAATGTTTGTGCTTGAGTTTGCTGGTTAAACAAGCCATACCATGTTAGATATTTAAGAGATATTTCCAAATATATGAATTCTTAAAATTTATAGGAGGCATTGGACTTTCTGATAAATGTTGCCATAAGCTGTTATTTAACCACTTGCTAAGATTTAATTTGATATTGTTATTGTCAGTAAGCGATCTGGGAAGCCTGACTTGTTCTCTCATTTCTCTGTTTGCTTAAAGATGGGAATCTGATTCTATGCTGAGAGACTCTCCAAGATGTATAGTTTGATTTTTAGATCTTATGAAAGGAATGGCTAACATTTTCTGTATAATAGCATAGCCAAAATGAGAGCTTAAATCATAATAATTTCACAGCTGGATTTACTTCACCATGGAATCCCAAATCCCTTTGGGCTAGATGGTGAAAATGATATCTTAAGTTTTAAGATAATTATATAGATTGGATTAAGTTTTAAAGCAGTTGTATAGATGGGACTAATTGTTAAAGTGATCATATCAATAGAATTAAAGAGGAGTAAATGCTCCAACATAGGAAGCCATCCATACAGCAGACTCATAGAACAGCAATTGCTCTAAGTAATACTCAGTAACATCAAAGTCAGCCCGAAAGGCATTCTGTTCTATCTAAAAATCCCACAAGAGCATTTAAGGTGTGGAAAGCCAGGACACTCATGCAAATAATGTCCTTATATGAAGAACATCCCCTAGGTGAGACCCCAGTGGAAATAAGTTGCCATCAAAGAAGGATGTATTTTTCTCCGAAGAGAGGAGAGAACTTTCACTTTGCTTATGGCCTTGTCTGAATATTGACAGAGTTTGTGGATTCAGAAGGCCTCCATAGCCTAGGCAGCTCATGTCAAGAGCCTCAGGTGATCACTGATGTCACACATAAGAGTGTTAATTGTTTAATTAACAACAGGAGTCACTGTGTACTAACTGCCCATGCAGGACCTTAGGGCTATGCTTAAAAAACAGAGGAGGAGGTATGGTACCACCCTCTGAGAGTGTTAGCTTTGCTCCTTTCACCTTAATTTCTTCCAAGTCTCACCCCCTGGAGAATCATGAGCTATGAGACACTGGAGACCTCTCACAGGTCCAACCCAGTTGCCTCTGGTTTGATGAAGGGACCCGACCACCCAACAATGGAAGGGGCCTGATCCCCTCATAAAAATGCAAAGAGGTATTGCTTGTGCCTTTCCCGAGATTGTCCCACAGGCTATGTGGATACCGGCCTGAAATGTCAAACCCTGGAACCAAGTCAACCAAAGCTGACCCTCTGACAAGCCAACCTCAATGACTTTCCTTGAATGAGCCATTCATAGAAAGTCCTCTTCAGATCAGTTACAGCTTAAATGGAAGGGACCTTACCAGGTGCTACTGAACACAACCCTCTCAGTAAAATTAAGATTAAACATCTACCTCTGAAGTCTTCACAGATGAACTCAAAAGATATTCCTGATTAATCCTGTAAGCCAATCAAATACCTTAGGCAAAAACATAAGTAAATCCTTTGCTTTCCTCACATCAAGCCTACCATACCCAAGGCAGACATGCTGTACCTTCCTCTTTTGATTCTCTCTGGGAACTGTTATTGACAATAAAACACCTAATGTGTTCTTCTGTTATAATCCTTTATGCTCAAGCTAAATTGGCTTATAGTCTATCACCACCCACTATCTGGGAGTCTGTAAAATATATTCTTTTCATCTTGAAGGGACACTCCACTTATAGTTATTCTTGTTCCAGTTTTGCTCATGCTAATTAACAAACATATGTTTCAGAATTCAACTTCTGGGAGAAACTTCCATGCAGGTGATGTAGACATTGGCAGTGATCAAGACTGCTCCAGCTCACAAAGCGAATTTGTTAGATGAGATAGGCAGAGGCCTTCATACACAGGACAGGCAGGGCTGGCACTACGCCCCTCATAAGCAGGAAGCATCTATAGAAGACGTGATGATTCTACACCTTTCAACATCTCTTAGGACTAAGGAAATGGAGTCTCTGAAAGGGGAATGATGTAAGCAGGCACATAGGATTAGGTTTGTAAGCTAGAAGACTACACCTCCACCACGTCCCCTGTGGGATCTTATGCCCCTGCCTGACCACACCTGAGCACCCACCTACCAATCAGAAAGGCCTGAAACACTGTGGGCCCAGCGTTTTTTCCCTTTGCCCTTCTATTTCCTCCATGCCCTTAAGGATTTACCCCCGTGCTAGGTGCTCTTAAATTTAACCTGAAGCATATTGTAGGTTGTGGTTTACTGCCTACCATGCTAAGCACGGTCACATCTGCCAAGAGAAGAGCTACTCTACTAGCTGAGATTTTGGCTGTAGAGATAGTTCGCCCTAAAATGAAGGAGGGAGATATGGGAGATCACATGAGATTACCTACCTAGCCCATATAGTTAGCCTGACTGCTGGCAGATGGCAGGAGTCCCAGGCACATTTCCTCCCACCCCCATCTTCTGCCAATCAGGTAAAATGCTCCCATGTGTGGCCCAGGCCCACCTGGAAAACTACCCTAGCTATGTGACTTTCAAACTGATTGAAGAGGCATATTGGCACCAGTGTCGGTTCTGTCCTATAGAGTCAGTGTCACTCTGAATTAGTTATGCCCCCTCTGTCTGCGCTTTAAAAATGTGCCCCATCATTATTAAGGGTGGGCATTTCACAGAAGCCTGTCCCAGGTGCGTCTTGTGGAAGAACACTGTTGCCCCACTCTCCCTGATAGTGTGGGCCTAGCAGGACGAGTCTGCACAAAAGAGCAAAAACCATTCAATAAACGATGATTCAGTTAATGATCTTTGATCAGTTGTGTACCCATAAGCAAATAATTGGGTTTCTAACTAAACTTCAGACTAAATTATATAATCTTTAGTAGAAAAGTCATTGCAAACTAACACTAGTAAATTAGCCATTTGATTGGACACCATAATTATAAAATATGAAAAGAAAATTCATCAAATTAGTCCTACCTCCTCAGAATTCAAAATATTTACTCTATGAATAATCAAAGTGAATAAAAAACACAATTCATAGAATTGGAAATTACTATAATATTATATATAACAAATAACTTGTATCTAGAATATATAAAAATGCTCTCAAAATTTAAACATAAAATAAATCCAAATAAACATGCTCAAGGGGTGTAAAATGATATTTTACCAAAAAGGATTTAACAGTGAACATATTTTTTACAAGCTCAATGTAATTGGCAATTAAAATTGCAAATGGAAAATAGCGTAAGATATTGCTATACTTCTACCAGGATGACTAAAATACAAATTAGCCATGCCACCAAATGAGACAAGAATACAGAGGAATTGGATTAATCATACAATGTGGATGGTAAAGAAAGACAACAACTCTGGAAAATAGTTCGGCAGTCTTATTATTTTCTTAGTTGAAAATGCATTTATCATAAGACCCAACAGTTGTACGTTCAGGCAAAAATCCTAAAGAACTGAAAATGCATTTCATTTTGAAAGTTGGAAATTCATGTTCAAGTTGGTTTTATCAGTAACAACCAGAAACTGGAAACAACCCAAATGTCCTTTAATAGTGAATTATTAAGCCATCTGTGGTATATTCTTACCAAGCAATACTTCTCAGTAACGTGGAGGAACAGATTCCTGAGAAATATAATTTGTATGAACCTTAAAAATGTTCTACTGAATGAAAAATTAGTATACCCAAAAGAACTTATTATGCATGATTACGTTTTTATAATAGTTGTGAAACAATGTAATTATTCAAGTGTAAAATAGATTAGTAATTGACAGAGATTTGAGATAGGAAGAGGGATGGCTCTAAAGGGAGCGCATGGGGCAGTTTTGGAATTTGGTGGTGCTTCTATAAAGCTTGCCATGGTTAAAATAAACTACACACTCACACACACACACACTCACACACAATTGAACATGTCTAACTGATAAAATCTGAATAATCTTTATTATTTGCATGAAAGTCAATTTCTTGTTGCATTCATTGTGGAAGATGTTAATGGTAGATGAAGTTGAAGGAAGAATATATGAGGCACCGTTTTTGTGAAATCTATAATTATTTTAAAATATTGAAACAAATCCTTCTTCAATTTGTGAATTATTGCTGAACCACAGGATCCCTATATGGCATTGGATGACTTTATTTGAGGGTCCTTTTTTATTTCGTTGGCCTCCTACAAATTTCCACAATTTAAATACCCAGTTTCTAATATTTATACTTATTAATATTATCTTATGACAACATAAGTGTTCATGCAGAGAGAAGGTAATTAATATTTATTTACAGTAAAAAATAAATATGTTCATTCCAATTTATACCAATGCTTCACCCTGTGGTGAAGTAAGAAGTAGATATTACTAGACATATAAAGGAATTTACTGTAGATAAGGAAATCCTGAGAAAATTAAGGTAGACATTTATTTAGGAGAAAAAGTTAACTCTGTCCAATCTCTTTCTACACTTGATCTTAGCCAAAAGGCCAAGAAGCAATCTGTCCAATCTCTTTCTGAGTCTTCTCAAAAATATGTTGGCAGGGATCCTAGGTTCTTAAACTAATTGTTTGGAATGTAAATAATTTTTGAGAGGGAAGATGAGTCCAATCGATACCTTCTACTTTATGATCTGATGATCCAACTAGAGATACTTTTGTCACCAGCTAATTAATTGTAATTTAATTTTAAGCTTTTATGTTAAAAAAGAATTCAAGGTTTAGTAAAATCTAATTAAAATGTCCTGTGAAGAAAATACAATATTATTTTTCATATTCCTTTAAAAAAAAAAAACTTAACTTGCTAATTGAAAAGGCAGAGTGACAGGCTGTCACATACAGATACAGAACTCCCATCTACTGGTTTCTCTGCAAATGTGTGCAACATCTGTGACTGGGTCAGTCTGAAGGCAGGCGCCAGGAACTCAATCCAACTATGCTACAGTCCAACTATTTGAGCTGTCACTTGATGTTTCCAATGATGAACATTAGCAGGAAGTTGGAATCAGGGGTAGAGCAAGCACTTGAGCCCAAAGATTCTGATATGTGATGCATGAGCCCTATTGTGGCATATGAACCTTGACACCAAATGCTTGCCCTATTTTTTTACACATCTTTTAATATTCCCCATTAAGCTATGCCTTTATTCTTAATTAATGAGATAAAATATGTTCATGTTTTTATTTAAGCTTGTTGGTAATACTTTATTTGGCATATTCAATTTGTCAAGATTATTAGACATATGTTCATATTTCAATTTCAAAAACCTTAAGAAATTTTAAGAATCTCATTCTAGAATACAGAAAATGTTTGATATCCAATTGAGTGTGTTATTCCATTTATTAATTTTACTGAATCATTTCTTGCAGTAGATGAGAATTCAGGTGTCCTTAACTGTTGTTCTATCATACTGTGGTTAAAAAGGTTTTTATTTTTTTAAATATTTTATTTATTTATTTGAGGTAGAGTTACAGACAGAGAAAGGGAGAGACAGAGAGAAAGGTCTTCCATCCACTGATTCATGACCCAAATGGCCACAATGGCCAGAGATGAGCTGATCTGAAGTGCTAATTGTTTCGCTTGAGTGAGTACAGAGGAGAACTACACATTGATACAATTTGATTGTTCTTTATTTCCAGTGATGGAAAGCCCTATAGAACTCTCTACCCCAAAACTCAAAGCAACAGGGTTTATAAAGGCAAAAAACACAAGGAGGGGAGAGGAATATACGGTTTCTAGGGTCATGATGACCTAAGGCCTATGCCATACTAAGGTCAATTACAATCTTGACATTAATCTTAACATTAATCCAGGTGCAGCTTACTTGTTTTAATCTTGAGTGATCATGCTAGGAAGTTTCTACGTTACTGTTATTGTCTGTGGTTTAGAACATAGTTTCAGACCATAGTCTCACGATAGGGGCTGCTTTCTCAAGATGGACTCTTGGGTGCTCTAAAATGGAGTCCCTCTTGTCAGAGTGTCACTTCACTATCAACTTTTGTAAACTGAATTTGCAGAATACTTCTTTCATTTTATAATATCCACATTGACTTTTAAGGAGAAAAGCATGGTGACTTCCTCCAGTTTTGATTTTGAGGAGTTCGTATTGCCAGCCTTTTTTGATAGATAGAAGAGTTAGATCAATTACCAATATGCTGTTCAGAACCCCTTGGAGGGTTTCTAAAAGGACCCCAATTACTATACCTGGCAGGAGTCCTGCTTATTAGTTGTCAGTTATCTTCTGCAAACTCAAAAGGGCTAATTTTTTTGAGTCTTAATGAAATTGTAAAGCATCATTCTATGTGAGTTTTTATAATTTTAGGCCAAGTTTTCTTTTTAATTTTTCTTTTTAGTTTTTAACAGATTCAATGTGCTTTGCGTATACAATTCTAGGAACACAATGATATTCCCTTATCCATTTCTTCCCCCTCCATCCCTAAATTTGTGTGAAGTAAGTTTGGAAATAATCATAGAAATAGAAATGACTTAACCAGTCTGAAATCCATATAGATAGATAGATAGATAGATAGATAGATAGATGCACATATGCAGTCATTGAGGAAAATACCCAAGGAAGCAAACATAAATATAAAATTTCTGCCTCTTCAGTAGAATGGTCAGAAAAAGTAACTTATATGCGGTTATTATATTTAGTAAAGAATTATTATGTTTAGGTTTGATACAATCTAGTAAACAGAGCTTGTGGATGTGTATGAAGTTTAAGTGAGCCTAAAATTTCATCAACTGATATCATTTATGCATTAATATATGAAAATGATTTTCATCAGTAGTGTTTAAAACCATGGTTAAATTCTAGGTATAAATGCATATTTGGTATAGATGGTCCTGAAATATGAAATACATACATTAGCCATGTTATATACCATGTAGCTGAAAGTGATGTTAAGTTATTAGTATAGCCAGAACTTTTAGTAGTCATCAACTTGTATAACTCAAAATAATTTGCAACATCTGGAAGGAATGTAAAATCATTTTTAAAAGGTTTTGTATTGCACACAATGTAGTAAAAAGGCATAGATACTTCAAGTTGTTGGATATTGGACAGTAAAACATTAATTGAACATATTTAGACTTAGACATGCAAAAGTGTTCTGATGAGTTAAAGGGTCACTCTTCTATGACATCTGATTCTGCTGATCTGTGTAGTAGCATAAGGATTCATTTCTCATAAGTCAGAGCAAATGCTAGTATTATGTTATATTAATAAAAATAACCAGTTCTGTTATCTTAAATTTAGTGATTTGGTTGGATTTGTACCCTAAACACTGTTTACATGGCTTTCCTGTTGCTTTTCTTTTAAGTTGCTTAAAAATTACTTATTTTTTATGCAACAGTGTTGGAGAATGATACTGGGAGATTGCAGGCTAGGTGCACAGGGACACAGGATCCCTCCCTCACCATCTGGAGATAAACCTCGGAAGACCTGAGAAAATTCAAGCAGCCAACTTCTATGAAGGATGTTGATGTCATGTACTAGTCCTTGTAATCAAGGACCTGTAACTGATCTATCTGACAAGAATTTTGTGCACCTTGAGGGAATGTTTCATATGTTTTCTGTTGTTTCCATAGAGTCTCAATTGAAACTTTCACCAAATTAACCAATCAACACCATTCCTCTCCCAGACTAATCGTGAGAACTTCCCTTTTTACAATCAAAAAAGCTCCCCAGACAATCTGCCCTCCTTGAATCTCTTCAGGGGTCCCTTTCTGCATAGCTGGGAGATTTTTAATTTTGCCTTTACTTTCTCTGCTTTCTTTTAATAAATAAGTTCTGCTTTTATACTCTTCCTTGTTTGTGCTTCTCATTCTTTGTGAATGCCAAGACATAAATCTGGCAGAGACAAAGGATTGTAATAACCACAGACTCCCGCAATAGTTTTGGGGGTGCTTATCTGAGACTGTTGGAAGGGTGAGTAAAGATAATTGCCTCTGCTTCTTATTTTGGATTTTCTTATTCCCCACCATAGTCCACTATCAATTAAAAACCTCTATCAATCAGTTAAAAGCATTTAGTGCAGCTGCTAGTCTTCAAGTCCCAGAGAGGAGGGTTGTTGGGGTAGACTTGACTAAGCCCCCTCTGCCTTTTGGGCTTGGGAATGGTGGTCTTGTTCTGCCTCACTTTCACTTCATGGAAATCTGTCCAGTGTGTGAGACTGGAGGACCGTCTTGGAATAAATTGAAGGTTTGGGGCTAGGACAAGACCCTGGTGTTCCTGAAGTTTCTATAATTAGATCCAGACTCTGGTCAACTGTTACAGTATTGAACTAAAATCTATACTCCTGTCTTTTTCTCTTTCTTTTTTTCCTACCCCTCCTCCCTCAGTGTCACTGTTAGGGAGTGAGTTGGCTGGATAGGTTTCTCTGATCTAAGCTAGCCAGAGAGAGAGGCTTTAATCCCTTAACCCTTTTCAACCTGGTAGATTTTTTTCTCCCTTCTCTGCAGCTTACATTTTGTTGATGACTTTTTTCCTTCAGCTCTTGGCAACAAGAATATATGAATCTCTATTGCTTGGGAGAACTAATCTTAAAGGAGTTAAATTGCCTATTTTAATTGTTTGAGTAATTACTATAACACTGATTAGATCTGGTCAACAGTTTTAGTTAAAGTACTCAGATTAAATGGATTATTACTACTTTTGTTTTGACCAAATTTCTTAAATCTCTGACAGTTCTTTTCATTTAAAGCTCTATACTGTGTTTTTTGTCCTTGAGGCTTCCGGTTGGATATCCAGAGCTCTGAAAAGACATAGCTTTCAATAGGGAACAATAGTAACTGCTTGGGTTAATTTAAAATCATGCCAAACTTCTGGTGTACTTATGTTTATATAAAGTCTTAATGTTTTACACTCTGGGGTCAATGAGACATGGTTCCAGGGCAGACCCACAACATATCACTTTATATCAGATAACTTATTCTACATATTATGTTGGTTGCATGACGACTGGGATAGTGGTAACGTATATTCTCACCCCCAACTTGACATCTGATTAGGGCCCAATCATTATTAGGACAGGAAGCTGGGTGTTTAACACTTGGCACTTTCAGCATTGTTCACAATCCTGTCCTGCCTAATGCATCCTGGAACTAAGTGTTACAACTCCCAGAGGCACAGGATGTTGCTATTAGGACAGATGTTAGAGCAATGCACCCATGAGGAGTCTGTACCTGTGGGCATGGAACCCACATAAGGGACCGGGAACTGCCCAATTGGTATGAGTCAGGCACTCGAAAAACATCATCTGGTTTCATGGCCATGCCTGGCTAAAGAGAAAAACAAAATACTAAGTGGAATTTTTGTCCTGCTGAAGCCAATAGTGTTGGCAAGAAGCCATATTTTTTAAAGGTGGATGGACAAAGGCAAGGACAAAATGATCAATCAAAAAGAGAAGTGCAGACTATTAAAAGGATGAGAAATTTGGAATCAAGAGGCACACAGAGCAATTAGGCCAAGGAAGATGGTATAAGAGATAAGCCTATCCTGC